TGAGGGGGGAGCTCCCCAACCCCCCTGATGGGCCCTGCTCTGTGCGTGACAGGGGGCAGCGCCCCAACCCCCTGATTGGCCCTGCTCTGTGCGTGACGGTACGGAGCTCAACCTCCTGATGGGTCCTACTCTGTGCGTGACAGGGGGTGGTGCTGCAACATCCCCATCGACCCTGCCTTGTGTGTGACAGAGGGCGGTGCCCCAACCCTCCAATCGGCCCTACCCTGAGCGTGACTGAGGGTAGCATCGCAACCTCCCGATCCGCCCTGCTCTGTGTATGACAGGGTCAGCGCCCCAACTCCCCAAGCAGCCCTGCTCTGAGCCGGACCAGGGGCTGCACCTAGGGATTGGGCCTGCCCTCTGCCACCTGGAGCAGGCCTAAGCCAGCAGGTCGTTATCTCCCAAGGGGTCCCAGAATGCGAGAGGGCTCAGGCCCGGCTGAGGGACTCTTCCTCCCCCCCCCCCTGCCCCGCGTGCAAAAATTTTTGTGCACCGGGCCTCTAGTTAAAATTATAAATGTCATCAAAACCTAACTTGAAATCATTAAGAAGACCTAGAAAACTAGCAGTGGTCTTCCAATCTCACTGAGAAATGTGTGAGAAAAGTAATTCCTACTGTTCTTACCATTGTAGCCAAATAATTCCTCTGTGGTTCTTGCTATAAGAAATTTCATTTGTAGAATTATTTTTGCTTAATTTCCTCTGTTTGGTACTTTTTAATTGTACCAATAGTATACTCTATAGAGACTCCTCTCCCCAATCATAGTGCTATATTTTCTGAATAGAAAATAAAACAGCTCTACAGTTAAGTACAGAATAAATTCATGTATATAGAGTTCAGACTTTCCAAAAAATAATAGAATCTTAGCAAAAAGAGATCGTAGAATTTATCTGTCTTTTAATACTTTTAACTCTTCAAAACCTAGAAGGGAAAAAACCTTGACAAAGCTGGTACACATCACTGAATTGGGAGTTCTCTTGGTTAGTTGTATGCATACACATAAAACAACAATGAAGCAGCAGTATTGACAATGAGAAGAAACAGCTGTCTCCAGAGAAGGAAGGTGGAGTAACTATGAAAAAGAAGATAGAAGAATTACAAAAGCATTGCTGTCCAGAGGATTTTAGCTTACTCCTTACTAAGTCCTATTCTCTATTACTCTACCATATCATGAATAATATATTTGATGTTAATGAGTCATCATGGATATTTAGATCAGTGGTTCTCAGCCCTGGCTGTGGAGCAGAATCAACTTTTGAATTCAACAATGACCATCAAACAAAGTAATAAACTGGATGCCCATGGCCTATATCCATCGAATCAGAATCGACAGGGGTAATGTCCAAGCATGTTTGAGGAGATTATGATGCAACCAGGCTGAGAACGACTGAAAATAGACTATGTACCCTTTATTCTCCTTTATATAGAACATCTGATGATATATTTAAGGAAAATATTTATACATGTTATATGTTTAATTTATCTTGTTTCAGTTATTTAGAAAGAGTATTTATGTGAGGTATTTTTTTCTCATAGTAGTGGATAAATGAGGTGGTACTTTTATAAGCTAGATTTGGAAACTTTATTTTCTTCTTTATTATTACAGACATATGGCACCCAGGAGAAAGATGTCTTGTCCCTTCTCCAGATAATGAAAAACTTTGTGAAGCAAGTGTAAAATCTATCATCGTGGATGAAAATGGGAAGTCATTTGCAGTCATCTTATATTCAGATCTTCAAGAAAGGAAAGTACCTCTTAAAAGACTTCAAGAAGTAAAATCTGTTAAAGATTGCTCCAGGAATTTCATATTTGATGATGAAGATTTAGAAAAACCTTATTTTCCAGACCGAAAATTTCCGTCATCTGCTGTTGCTTTTCAGTTATCTGAAGATGGAGATTCCATTCCTTACACTATTAATAGGTATTTGAGAGACTATCAGAGGGAAGGAGCCCAGTTTCTTTATGGACACTTCATCCAAGGAAGAGGGTGTATTCTTGGTGATGATATGGGACTTGGAAAAACAGTACAGGTAATTACTTTAATTACTTTATAATTCATCTTCCATAAAGTCATTTTATTATAAATACGAGTAGATATGCCATATGGAAATCTCTTGTTTTTACTCTCAGTTCTTACGATAGCTAGTGTGCGTATGTGTCACCCACCTGGCAGTAAAATCCGTAAAGTTAAGGGCAGCGCCTGAGTCATTATTTCATCCTCAGAACTTACTTAGTAGTACTTAGCATTTATGAAGTATATTATTCAAAATCATGTTTTGGCTTGATTTTACCTGTGGTAATACTAGTAGTAAGATATCAATTGTATTAGTTTAACTTTCTTAGTAATACTTGATGGAAGGAAAGTGGTCTGATATTTATTGAGCTGGGTAGCATTGTTAAATTGATCCTTACAGGCCTTTTGTGCCCATTGCATCAGAAGTTGCCTAGCCTGGGATCCCTGGGCCACTAGGAGTTCTATTGGTAGACATTTCCCTAAAATGTGTGCTGGAATTTACATGTTCTATACATGCTTTTCTGCTGAGAGGATCTATATTATCTATTGCTGCAAAACAAATTACACCAAAATTCGGTAGCTTAAAAACGATGCACATTTATCCTATTGTAGTTTTTGTGGGTCACAAATTCAGGTACAGTTTAGCTGGGTCATCTGTCTCTGTCTCTCGCGATGCTGCAGTCCCCCCTTGGAGTAGGGAGCACCCACTTCCTGGAATAAATGAATTTGCTTTCTCAGAACAGGTGGCAAGAATAAAGAATGCCTTTCAGAAACTACTGTCTGTGACTAAGATATATAGATAGATACTAGAGATAAATAAACCATAAAGCCCTTTTGTAACTCTCTACATACACTTTTACTGCTTTTGCCCACGCTAGAATGTTCTTTCTCACACTTCTTTGACTAGGCAATGCTTGTTCATCTTCCAAATCAGAAAGGTGAGGGTGCAGCAAAAAGTGACCTGCAGTTTGGGAACCCCACCTTAAAACCATTTAAGTACAGTGCAAATTCTTCTGCAAGTTTTAGGCTCAAGTTTAGTTTTCATCTGTGAAGCCCATGTTACAAAGAAATTCCCTGTATTTTATACTTCATAAAGTGATTTCACTATATGATTTTATGTTACCTGACACACTGAAATCATTGGAAGGCTCTGAGTTGTATTATATGCTGTGAAAGTCTTTGAGAGTTCATCTCCTGAAGATTAGGAAGTAGTTTCTGTACTAATTTTAATTCTTAGCTGGATTGTCCGATCCTTGGGGACCTAGTTCTCTGGTTCTCGTAATTCAGAGAATAATTTCTACATAAATAGGAAGTTTGGGAGACCCATATAAGATAGAGTCTAGAGATATAATGACTATACACTGAGTGGCCAGATTATTATGACCACCTGACATTTGTAGGCAAATTAGCTATAATTTCATGCTGAAGCTGCTAGAAGGCCAGACTATTATAAATAGGGAAGCAGGTTGTTTACCATGACAGTAGAAGTGATTTTTTTCTGAAGATATGGGTAACAACGCCGATTTAACAGCCTTTGAACGTGGCATGATTGTTGGCGCTCGGAGCCATGGAGTGAGTATCAGCAAAACAGCCGAAGGCCTGGTCAAACACCTTTGCTGCCTGCAGTTACCAAGATAAAACGTCTCCAATTCGCACAGGAACACAAGGATTGGACAGTCGAGCATTGGAAAAAAGTCAAGTGG